TGATTCTAAATTTGGTATTCCATTTTCATCATTAATAAAAATACATTCTTACATTTTATACTTATTTTTGTTTTAGTATAATGGACATATAAATATTCCATTTTCATCATTAATAAAAATACTTCTTACATTTCATACTTATTTTTGTTCAGTACAATGAACATGTAATATTAGAAACGTGCCCAATTCTTTTTATCTTTTTGTATTATATATTTTACTTATTTTAATTTTTATTATTTAATTATGACATTATTTATTAACCTATTTGACCCCAAATGGTTAAATTGCTTACCCACCACTAAGAGGGAAGAAAATGGTTTTGCTTTCAAATTATTTTTAAAAATATGTATTATTATATTATTAAAATTAATATTATGAATTTAATTAGTAGAATTTAATGATGAGAAAAATATATCTTAAATATAAGATTTAATAAGAATATACCTTAGATATGAGATTTAATTAGAGAGAATAGGAAATAGCTTTATTTCCATTTGGTTTGAAATTTTACATTCCATTCCATCATTACTAAAAATATTTCTTATTTATCATCAATGTTTTTCAATCCGCCGTTGACCCGACCGATTGAATCATTCAAACCGTCACTCGGCCTTGAATTCGGGGTCTGATTATATTGAGGCTTGCCCTTTTGATCAAAAACTGTTTAATGCGGGTAGTTCAACAATTGACCCCTTCGACTTGGTCACCAGGTAGTGGGTTGCACACTTAATTATACTTTTGGAGGCCATAACTTTGCACTCTGATGTCCGATTGGAGTGATCATTTTTTATTTTAGGTAGCTTTTCAAGATCTATACGCCTAAAGGGCCTTAGGCATCTTGCCTTGCTATTTTCACAAAAGAAAACCCTTTCTTGGTCCCAAATTGCAATTTTTAATATTTTTTATAAATAAAAGTGGTTTAACTCGTTCGACCTTGACGGTTGAACCGGTGTCCTGTGACCCAAAGGCAAAAGCAAGTCGAACTTCGGGTCAGTTTTTAAAACATTGTTTACCATACTTATTATTATTATTTACTGTGCCAAATATATGATATTAAAAATGTTCTTATTTTTTTAGTTTCTATATTTTTGGCATTCTACATATTTTTGAATGTTACTATTTAATTGTGGCGACATGGATTGGCCCATTTGACCCAAAATGGTTTAATTTCTTACCACTACCTAGATGAAAACACTATTTTTTCCACGTAGTTTTTAAAAGTTTAAGTTTTCTGTTGTTGGAATTATTAATTTATTATGTATGGATTTAATTATAGAATTTAATGATGAGAAGAAGTAAAAATGTCTTAAATATATAATTCAATGAAGGTGAATGCAAATTAATACCTTAAATGTTGGATTTAATGAGAGACAATTGAATGCATTGAGTATCTTAAAATTACCTCTTTTCAACTCATTAAATAGCAATATTAGATTACCTTATTTGCTATCATTTTTTATCAATAAATATAAATATAGAGGGGTAAATTTTGTCCTCAAAAAATTCCATAAATATTCTTGAGGCTATTGGTACTTTTTAAAGCAGTATAGATATAGTATCTATACTACTTAAAAAAGTACGAATGGCCTCAAGAATATTTATGGAATTTTCTAAGGACAATATTTACCCCTCTATATTTAAATTTAATGATAAAAAATTAGGGCAAATAGGGTAATTGGTTCTTGATATTAAATGAATTGAAAGGAGGTAATTTAAAGATATTCAATGCATTAAATCCACTCTCATTAAATCCAACATTTAAGTTATTAACTTGAATTCATGTTCATTGAATCATATATTTATGTTATTTTTATTTCTTCTCATCATTAAGTTCTATTAATTAAATCCATACTTAATAAATTAATAATTCCAATAACATAAAAGTTTATACCTTTAAAATCTACCTAGAAAAAATAGTGTTTTCATCTAAGTGGTGGTAAGAAATTAAATCATTTTGGGTCAAATGGATTAATCCATGCTACGATGATTAAACAATAAAATTGTAAAATAGATAAAATAAAAAAAAAAGAAATTAAAAAAATTGGGAACATTTTTAACATACATATTAAACAATAATAAGTATGTTAAATAAGAAATGTGTTCTATTAATGATGAAAATGGATTAATGTAAAATTTAAAACCAATTGGAATTAAAAATATTTTCCTATTCTCTCTCATTAAATCCTGTATTTAAAATAAAATTTTTTCATCATTAAATTCTTGTAATTAAATCCACAATATTAATTTTAATAGTATAAAAATAAATATTTTGAAAAGTAATTTGAAAACAAAACCATTTTCTTCCCTCC